GAAGAGAAAAAGAAAGAGAAAAAGAAAAGAAAAGAAAGACTGGTGTTATTTGTAATAATACATAGAGTATGGCACATGGAAAGTTAGACAAATCCAAATTAGAATTAGTTTGCTGATACAGACTCAGGTCCTCTTTCCCATCAGAGGAGAGCATCCCTTCTTTCTAAAAATAGGTACTACCTACTTTAAAATAGCACATTGTGGCTTACCTCAGATGTGAATGTCATTGTTACTATCATCGTCATCATTTGACCCTGGTCCCTTACCTAGGGGGTAGTGCATTCATGCATGCATGCATGCGTCTGTCATAGAGACAGCCCCAGATTGTATTATTATAAAAACATCTAGCTTTCTCTTATGATACTAGGTACTCAGGCTTGGTGAAAAGTTCCTGTACTCACTGAGCTGTTAGCTTACAGACCAGTAGTTTTCTTTTGTAAAAAATACTTATTTTGTGTATGTATGTTGTGGTGGTATGTTGTGCCACAATGAAAATGTGGCCGAGAACTACCTTCAGGAGTCAATTCTCTCCTTCCACCCTGTGAATTCCAGAGGGCAGCAAGTACTCCTTATCTCCTGAGCCATTTTGCTGTCCTGTATGAAGGTCTTTTTATTTTTTTTTAATTATTAGGTACTTTAATCTAGAAGTGACATAAGTATGTGGGTAGATGTGCACAGGTTATATGTAAATTCCACACATGTTATATAAGGGAATTGGAGTACTTGTGACTTTTTTAGTGTTCCCGGAGGGTTCTAGAACCAGTACCTCCATGGATAGGAAAAAATAGCTGTTTATATAAAATAACAAGGTGTAAGAGGGATTGTAGAGATGACTCAGTGGTTAAGAGCCCTTGCTGCTCTTGCCAAGGACCCAGATCTGCTTCTCAGCATCCACATGGCAGCCACAAGCATCAGTAACAACAGGAGATCCCATTCCCTCCTGTGATCCCCGAGGGCAGCACATAGGCGGACAAAACACTCATACACAGAAAATAAAGAAAGTAAGGAGCAACAAGGTATAAGAATGACTTTAAGGGCTGGAGAGATGGCTCAGAGGTTAAGAGCACTGACTGCTCTTCCAGAGGTCCTGAGTTCAATTCCCAGCAACCACGTAGTGGCTCACAACCATCTGTAATGAGATCTGGTGCCCTCTTCTGGCCTGCAGGCAGACATACAGGCAGACAAAATACTGTATACATAATAAACAAACAAACAAATAAATAAAAAGTGTTAAATTTTTAAAAAAGGATGACATTGAGATGTAAACTTTATTCCTAAAGTTGTAAAATCTGTGAGTCCACAGGGTTGGGGATTTAGTTCAGTGGAAGGCCCTGGTCCTCAGCCCTGTTGGGGAGGGGGCGGAATCTGTGAGTCTGTGATGTTTGTCCATCCTTGATCTTCATTGTTCCTTATTTAAATTTCTTACCTGTGCCTCACTTTCTCTCTGGCTCAGGCCCTGAACTGCATTATGGAAATGGTAGAGAAAACGAGGCGCTCCATGGCGGTTCTCAGGCGCTGTCAGGAGTCTGATCGTGAAGAACTCAACTATTGGAAAAGGCGATTTAATGAAAACACAGAGATGAGGAAAACTGGGACTGAGCTGGTCTCCAGACAGCACAGCCCCGGCAGCACAGATTCGCTCAGTAATGGTAAGGACAGAGAGAGGTAGCCTTTCACTCCACTTAAAACATCTAATCTGAGTTTATTATTTTTGTTCGTTCTGTAGCATTGTTTGATATGATTTTTAAAAATTTACTATGTAGCTTAGGCTGGCCTCAGTCCTCAATTTCCCAAGTGCTGGGATTAAAGGTGTGCACCACCATGCCTAACTACATTTTTTAGTTGTGTGTGTGTGTGTGTGTGTGTGTGTGTGTGTGTATGTGTGTTTGTGTGTCATGTTTGTGGAGGGTGTTGGTTATTTCCTCCCACCATCTTAGTTCTAGGAAGTGAACTTAGTTCTCCACGCTTGGTAGCAAGCACTCTTAACCCACTGAGCTTTCTTGCTATCCTCTTTATTACTTTTTTTTTAATTGGTGCATTGGGGTGATGTCAGAGGACAAGTTACAGTATTCAATATTCTTTATACACCATATGGTTTCCAGGGATCAAACCATTCTCCTGACTCCTGCCCTCCACATTAGATGCAAGTTGCAGGCCCAGGTTCTTTTTTCACGTTCTGACCTGCTGACTATCAACCATGCTTCCCACATTTCCTTCTTTAGCTTTGACTGATTTGCTCAAGCTGCTCACAGACTCAGGGAAGCAAGTTTATCTGTTTACAAAGGACACACATGAAGAGATGCAAAGCAAAAGGTCTAGAGGAAGGAACACAGGACTGGACCTGCCACACTTGGAAACTGCTTTCTGAGTCCTGTGCCTTATGGCTATATCATTGCAGTTGAATTACAGTAGACTGGATGGGGAAATCAAGGAGGGCCTGTGTTCATCGGTGTTTTTTTTCTATTCTGCAGTATTCCCTCTCTAGGTGATAGAGCAAGACCCATCAGTATAATATTGTCAGACAAGGATACAATCAAACAGTTTTGTTATTGTTGGGTTTGTTGTGTTGTTTGTTTCCTGGGTTTGGTTTTTGAGATGTGTTCTCACTCTATAACCTAGGCTGACTGTTATCTGATACTTTGTTTGTGTTTTGACAAATAAAGCTTGCCTGGAGATCAGAGGGTGGAGCTAGACCATAGAGGCCAGGCAGTGGTGGTTTGTACCTTTAATTCCAGCACTTGGGAGGAGGAAGTAGGAAGAAGAGGAGTTTAAGACCACCCTGGGCTACATGAGATTGAACCAGTCTAAAAGAGAAGTAGAGCTGGGCGGTGGTGGCTCATGCCCTTGATCCCAGCACATGGGAGGTGGAGATAGGAATATAGGGTGGGTAGAGATAGGATCACTCCCATTCAGTCTGAGGATTTGTAGAGGTAAGAAGTTTCTAGGGGCTGTTCCTCTGCTTTTCTGATCTTTCAGCTTTCACCCTCGATATCTGACTCTGGGTTTTCATTGATTAAGACTAGTTAGGATCACAATTCAACTGACCCCAAACTTGCTTCGGCTCTGCCTCTGCTGAGATTACAGCATGAACAACCAGCCCTAGCAAATGCTCTGATCTTGTTATGGCTGGTCCCTGTATAGAAAGGTTGGCAGGAGGTAAGACAAGGGCAAGAGTAGGAGAAACTCGGGCTGTGTGGCCTCCAGTGCAGAAGGAGTGATTAGCCAGAAAAATGGTGACATCTAAACTTTGGTGACTAGGGTGTAGCTTAATGATGAGTACTTGCCTAGCTTGAGCAGTGACCTGGGTTCAGCCCAGCAGTACAAGAGATCAGTAAGGGAGGACAAAAAGAGTACCAGTTCGGGATGTCACTGTTATAACTAGCCCTATAGGTACTTTGATGGTTGCACTCACCATACTCCTTCTTGATGGTATTCACCCCGCTTTGCTTTCTTTCCTCAATTACCCTCCCCTTCCTGGTGGCTGCCTTCAAAAGATTAGCTTAGGCAAAGCTGGGTTGTTCATCTTGATGTAGCAGAGATGAGTAGCTCTTTTCCCAAGGATACATCCAGGAAGCCCAGAATGTTCCATCACTTTCTCCCCAAAGCTGAAAAGGTGCCCTATCCAAAGGCACAGCTGAATGACAGGCCATCTGTGATCACACTCTTTCTCCACCCACCCACTTAAAGTTCCCAAATGTTCATCAAAGAGAATGAATTTTTTCTTATGACAGTGCTAGCATTTTTCATAGAAGACAGCTGTTAGTCTCAAAAGGACTGGAAGAAAATTTTGAGGAGATGCCAGAATTAATAATGTGTGTCCTATCCTAAATAGCTAAGGGCTGACACTTTCTCTCTTCATTGACAGGCATGGCTCTTGAGCCAGCTATCAATTGGCACCATTTTATATGGGATAACTGGTATATCAGGAAACAAACAACTTACACTTGCGCACATACCTATGAAAAAACAAGTGAGGCTAATTCTCAGGTCCCCCTTACAAATATGAACCCTTAACAAATATTTCCTAAAGCAACTTAAAGATTCTTGACTGAGGATCGACATCCACAATCACATATATCCCTTCCCTGAGTGCATGTGTGCAGCTGGGGTGGCAGAGTGCAGGCTAAAAGCACTCACTAAAACACTGCTGTGAACTGTCACTGCTCTGTACAAATCACCCCAACTTGCAGAGCTAGCTGGGGATGACCATATTGTCTGATGTGCCTGGGACAGTTCTTATTATTTTTATGACCTGTCAGAGTCATGACTAACACCTCCCTTTCAAAATGAAGATAATTTGATAAATCCTAGTCATTGTACGTTTAGTGCTGCATGGATTCCAGTGTCTCCTATTAAGATTCTAAGAACATTGCCAATTTGTCTGATTGCAGTTGTATCATTTGTCTGGGATACAGCTTAGTTGACAATGTTTACTTAACACGTACTAAGTCCTGGGTTTAGTCCCTAGCACCACAAAAAAAAATAGGTGTGGTCTTAGTGCACACCTGTAATTACAACATTTGGTAAGTTAATTGCTATTGTGAACTTCATAAAACCCTGTCTGAAAGGAAGGGGAGGGAGAGAAGGGAAAAAATGGTAGGGTAGGGGCTAGAGAGATAGCTCAGCAATTAAGAACACTAAATGACCTTCTAGAGGGCAGGACTTTAGATGGCTTACAACCGCTTGTAACTTCAGCCTCAGGGAATTTCACTTAAGCAGGCACCTGCACTCATACAGACTCAACACTCATAGACATGTAGTTGGAATTTCTGATTGGGACCATTGGCTCCCCAGTAATGACATGAAGACTTATTATTAATTTTAAAAACTCTGCTATAGCTTAGGCTTGTCCCCTAGCTCTTATAACTTAACCCATTTCTATTCATCTGCGTGTTGCCATGTGATTTGTGGCTTTTACCTGTCCCGCAGCGCTGCGTGTCTTGCACCCTCTCTGCCGGGCTGCTGACTCTGCCACCCTTCTTCCCAGTGTGCTCTCTGTCCAGAAGTCCCTGCTATACCTCCTGCCTAACTATTCACCAATTAGCTTTTTATTAAACCAGTCACAGTAATACATCTTCACATGGTGTAAAGGAATAGAATATTCCACAACATATACATAATGAAAATCTAATATAAATCTTTGTTTGTTTTGTTTTTTTATAAACAAGGTTTCTCTGTATGGCTTTGGCTGTCCTAGAACTCAGCCAGGCTGGGCTTGAACTCACAGAGATCCACTTGCCTCTGCTTCCTGAGCACTAGGATTAAAGGTGTGTGTCACCACTACCAGGCTAAATATAAGTCTTTTTAAAGAAAAATAAAAATGACAGGCTAGGTTATGTGTGGCAGTACCTCTCCTAAATGAAAGAATTGGGCATATATACTCATACAGTATTTAAACATACTAAATAATGTGTTTCTAGATAATAGGGTTTATTTTTCTTTCAGTGTGTGTGTCAGTTTTAGAAGAAAAGCAGAATTCATAATGTGGACTAAACTGTTGCACTGGAGTGTATTGGGCATTGTTTGCTTTAAGAAAGTCTTTTGCTGACATGGTGTACAACTTTAATCCCAGCACTCTGGAGGCAGCAGAGGACAGCCTAGTCTACGTAGAGAGTTCTAGGACACTCAGAGTTACATAGACCTTGTCTCAAAAACTTTTTTTTTTAATTTTGTTTTTCGTTATTTTAAAAATCATAATGCGTTCGTGCTTATATGCCTGTCTGGTGTGTGTGGTGGGAGGGGGGTGCATGTGCCATAGCCTGTGGAGGTCAATTTTTTTTCTTCTTCTAGACAGGGTTTCTCTGTGTAGCTTTGTGCCTGTCCTGGAACTCACTCTGTAGCCCAGGCTGGCCTTGAACTCATAAAGATCCTCCTGCCTCTGCCTTCCGAGTGCTGGGATTAAAGGCATGCACCACCACCACTGCCTGGCCCAAAGGACAATTTTTGAGAGTTGATTCTCCCCTCCTTTATTTGGGCTCCAGTGATCTAACTTGGTTCATCAAGCTTTCATGGCAGGCAGTTATTCATTGAGCCATCTCTCTTATCATCGTTTTTATGCATGTGACAGGGCCTCGTTGTATAGCACTGGTTGGCCTAGAACTTGTTATGTAGACCAAGTGATTTTTTTTTAAGTGCTATTTTTGTTTGTTTTGATTTTGTGTAGCTCTAGCTAGTCTGGAACTTGTTATATAGCCCAGGTTGGCTTCAAACTCAAATTGATTTGCCTGCCTCTCCCTCCTTCATGCTGGGATTGAAAGTGTGCACTACCATGCTCTGTTAAATGATGTTTAACAAGTAATTGCACTATGTAAAGGTCATATGTAACAGCACTCTGGAAGCTGAGGCAGGTGGATTTTAAATTTAAGGCCCTCCTGAGTTGTAGCGTACTGAAACTTTATCTCCCACCCCAAAAAAGCCCAGATCATATAATACAGAGCTACAAAACTCAAGGGCAGCCTGAATAACATATGGACATTTTGTCTAAAGTTAACAAAGGTTAGCCTGGGGCTTGATCCCTAGCCAAGATACACTGAATTCATGTATATAATATCCCAAGTTTTGTGTGACCTACTGGTAGAGCACTTATTTATCATGAACAAGGGCCTAGGTTTAATCCCCAACACCACAAAAAAAAATTCATGCTTGCCTCTTAGATATAAAGTTCAGTATACTGTTTAATAATCTGAAGCTAGCTCTTTTGTTTTGTTTTGTTTTTCGAGATAGGGTTTCTCTGTGTAGCTTTGGAGCCTGCCCTGGAACTCACTCTGTACACCTGGCTGGCCTCAAACTCACAGAGATTCACCTGGCTCTACCTACCAAGTGCTGTGATTGAAGGCTAGCACCACCACCGCCCGGCTTCTTGAAGCTACTAGCTCTTACTCTGAATATGTTTTGCATTAAACAAGCATACATGTTGGATCTAGGTGGTAAATGAGAAGTCTGATAAAAAGAAATTTTGTGTCAGGGTTAGGGATTATTGTTAGAACATTTGCCTAGTCTACATAAGAATTTAAGTTTTGAATACTGGTTAAAGACAGCTTCTGACCCCTTGCTCTTTATCTCTCTTGTGTAGATTCTCAGCGGGAATTCACCAGTAGGCCAGGAACAGGATATGTACCTGTGGAGTTTTGGAAGAAAACAGGTGTGTATCTGTCTGCTTGTAGGCTGTCTGTACTCACTAGTTTATGCAAGCTGGGAACCCATATACTAGCGAAAGGTTGGTAACCAGCCTTTTGATTGTCCATAATGTCCTCCTTGTGGAATTATTGGCTTCTCCTGTTCTCCCTCTGGCTGATCTGCACATCTCCTGGACTGAACTGCCTGCCTGATCCTTGGCTGGTCAGAAGTTTGGAATGGGTCCCTCTAGGCTTTTTCATGCCCTTCTGGTTTCCATTGAAGCATGAAGTTGAATTTATTTCTGCTTGGTCTCTTTGCTAGTATACTGTGTTCACACTACCACTACATTTGCTGGATTCTGATTTTCTTTTTAAGTTTTCTTGTGTTTGGGGTAGCACATTTTGGAGGCCAGAGGGCAACTTCAGTATCAGTCCTTCATCTACCTTGTTTTGAACCTGGCTCTTGTTTCCTGTTTGGAACACCAGGCTAGCTGGCCAGGATGCTTCTGGGAATTGTTTTTTGCTTAGGATCTCTCTGTGGGAATACTGGGATTGTTAGATGCATGCTTTCACATCTGGCTTTACGTGGGTTCTGCAGATCAAAATTCATGTCTAACGCTTGCAGCTCAGGCTCCACTGAGCATCTCCATAGATCTCGGCAAGAGCGGTGAGTGGTCATAACCGCTGAGCCGTCGTCTTCCCAGCTCCTTCCCCCTTGCCTGTCTCTGGCTTACCCAAGACTATTCAAGGGCTAAGCGATTTCAGCTCTGTGGTTAAGCTTGTGTTCACTGTCTTAGGTTTCACTAGCACCACACAGTTACCAACAGTGAGTACATGCAGGTTCTTGAGTGTGGTGGCAGATCTCCTACTTCTGAACTATATTCTAGTACATACTGTATAGTTCTTTTTTTCTTTTTTAAGGCGTGGTTTCACTAAGTTAACAAGGCTGGCCTTGAAGTGAACATCATCCTTTCTTAGCTCCAAAAGTAGCTAAATTATAGGCATGTTAATTCATAATTTGATGCCAAAACAGATGTTATTTTTACCATGTAAAACAGTTTGGAAATACTTTTAGAAATGAGAAAAATAAATCTTTTTTGTTTGTTTTGTTTGGGTTTTGGTTTTTCAAGACAAGGTTTGGGTTTTGGTTTGGTTTTTCGAAACAGTGTTTCTCTTTATAACCCAGGCTATGCAGTGGGCATGTGTAGATGTTTGAAATAGGGAATTCTGGAGTCTTTGACCTGTGGGTGAGGACTTTCTTAAGGATGGATTAGTTTAGGAAGTTGTAACAGCATCTAGAACAGTTTAATGCTCCTTTGAGCCTGTACTCTATGAAAGAACAAGCTGTTAGGGATCCCCTTAGGGTCTGGGTTGTGTTTGCTTGTAGACTCCAAAGAGATGTTTTACACTCACATTCTCTGGGCTAAATCTCATGTCAGTTGGAGTGTCTTCCCTTAAACAAACCAAGCAAGGTGACTCAGGAGGGAGGGATCTTGACCTGGCAGTCCAGATGTCCCCTTGTTTTTGCCTGGATGCCTCCAGGCACCTACCCACTCCTTTTGTATGCACATTTTATTGTGTGAAGCCAAGCTGATGTTTTCCTTTACCACACACCCAGACTACCCTGACTCCTCACCTCCTAGGTACCTTTTACAAATTAAGAGCCTCTTTTCTCAGCTGAGCCACACCCAGCTTCCCGGTTGCTTTCTTATTATCTCCTCGTATAGAACACCTATAGAAGTTCACATTTCCAGCCGGGTGGTGGTGGCACACACCTTTAATCCCAGCACTCGGGAGGCAGAGGCAGGTGGATCTCTGTGAGTTCGAGGCCAGCCTGGTCTCCAAAGCGAGTTCCAGGAAAGGCGCAAAGCTACACAGAGAAACCCTGTCTTGAAAAACAAAACAAAAACAAAACAAAAAAAAAAGTTTATATTTCCTTTAGAAAATACAATATTCAAGATATATTTGGATCCTCTCTTGCACCTTGTAGAGTTGACCACCTTTCTCCTTGAAAGTCTAGTCTCTTTTGACATGTGAGATGGCACCTAAGCCACTGGGGTACTTGATCACATACAGGAAAGTAGATGATGGTGTCTACTCACTTGTGTATTCCCAGCCTTAACACAGCATCTACTTCTATGTGTACCTAGCAGTTGCAACACTGGGTGGCTCTTGTAAGAATATAATGTAAATGTGTGTTTCGTATTCACTCCTGCCCCTCTTATCTTCACTGTGTTTCCTTAGAAATACTGTGGTTAGCTAAGTGTGTTGGCACGTGCCTATAACCTCACTGCTCAGGAAGCAGAAGCAGGAGGATTGCCACAAGTTTGAGGCTAGCCTAGGATATATAGTGAGAACCTATTAAACCCTACTTCCTTGAACCCCCCCCCCCACCCTCAATGTTGTAGGTTGGGAGGGAAAAAGATTTCTCTGCCAGTTGATTTTACTGTTGCTTTCTTCCAGAAGAAGCTGTGAATAAGGTGAAGATTCAGGCCATGTCAGAGGTGCAGAAGGCTGTAGCTGAGGCGGAGCAAAAAGCTTTTGAAGTGATTGCAACGGAGAGGGCTCGAATGGAACAAACCATAGCAGATGTCAAAAGGCAGGCTGCAGAAGATGCTTTCCTGGTCATCAATGAGCAAGAAGAGTCCACAGAGGTCAGAGCTAGGCTGGGCTATAGGCTGGGCTGGGAGGCTGAAGGGGAGCAAGCTCACTGCTTGTCACTGAGGTGCTGGGTAGGAAGAGTCCACTAGATGATGGGATGTTTAGCCAATACCAGGAGACTTTTTCCCTTGCTTTAAGATATACCAAAATAATAAATCACTCTTTTGAATTCATTATAGTCTATCACATACACACAGTATATTGCTTTAGCTTCCATGAAGGCAGATTTGTCCCAATTATAGCTGTGGTGGTTTCACGGTGTGTGGAAGGAGACCTAGCTATGTATGTATGTATACACCTTTTAATCCTCACAGTAATCTCATTAGGGAGATGTTGATTCTCAGTTACAGAAGTGGCAGAGAATGTAGATCGCCCAAATGCCCTATCCAGGGCTCAAGACTCAGTGATGCTTCAGTACAGTGAAAAATTGTAACTGGGCATGATGTCACACACCTAGCGTTTGGGAGACCGAGGCCAGAGGATTTAGAGTTCAAGGTTATCCTGGTACACATAAGGGAAGACAGGTCACAAAGAAGAAGAAGAAGAAAAAAAAAACGGAAAGGCAGAAACATTGTGACAGTCCCAGTCATACCCCACCTGCCGCCCATGCCCTGGTGCTGGGTATTAAATAGATGGGTATGGGCATGTTCGGCAAGTGTGCTACCTCTTTTATTGTTTTTATTTTGAGACATGGTCTCACTGAATTGATAAAGCTGCCTTTGAAGCCAGTATTCACCTGCCTCAGCCTCTAGAGGAGATGAGACTATGGATGCATACGTTCAGCCCTTGCACTAGCATATTTGAATTCAATGAAATTTTTCTGTGGTGTTTTTGTTGTTGTTGTTGTTGTTTGGTTTTTTGTTTTGTTTTGTTTTGTTTTGTTTTTGAGACAAGGTCTCTCTCTCTAGCCCTGACTGTTTTGGAACTTGCTATGTAGATTAGGCTAGCCTCAAACTCACAGAGATCTGCCTGCCTTCCAAGTGTTAGGATCAAGGATGTACACCACTCCCAGGTCGTAACTCTCATTTTAGTCTTCAGCCTTTTTTTTTTTTTTTTTTTTTTTTTTTTGTGTGTGTGTGTGTGTGTGTGTGTAAGGGTAGTAGATTTTTGAGACAGGATCTTTCTATATAGCCCAGTCTGGTCTGGTACTGTGTAATCCAGGTTGTTCTTGAACTAAAAGCAATCCTTCTGCACCAACTCTCATAAGTGCAGAGATTTACAGGTGTGCATCATCATGCCAACCTTCTCATTTTAGTCATTTTTTTAGGCTTAAAACATAAGGAATAAGACTGTAGTAGCTATAATTTTAAGCAGTGAACTAAAAGTAGCCTACAGGTGAGATGCATGCCGGCTTGGATCCTGGCAGATTTGCATTTCAAAAGGAAGAACAGACATCTTAAGCCTTTGGTGAGTTTGCAATGGATCAGAAATGCTGATTCTCCCTGCAATTCATTAAGAAAATCCCGCAGGATACATAGTGGTTTCTCCATCTCATGAGATGCTGTGCCGCACAGGAGAAGCATGCTACTCCCACCTTCTCTTCACACTGACTTGTCATCATTTAGGAATCAGTTTTCTGTACAGAGTGTACAACTGCCCTGTCCTTTTGGCCTGGTAGCTTTTGGGACCGTAACCTGAGTTTACAGTGTGATGCTCTTCAGTGGTGTGTAAACTAGAGCAGGTCCTGCTCTGCAGCATTGCCCTAGGCCTACGCTGCTTTTCTGCCTGGGGTGGTTCTGTCTGTTTGTTTGTTTGTTTGTTTTTCCTGAGACAGGGGGTTTTTTGTGTGTGTGTGTGTGTGTGTAGCTTGGCTGTCCTGGAACTTGCTTTCTAGACCAGGTTGGCTTTTAACTCACAGAGGTCCACCTACCTCTGCCTCCTGAGTGCTGGGATCAAAGGCGTGCGCCACCACTACCCAGCACCTGCCTGAGATGGAGGGACAAAAAGAGTATCATCTTATCTCTCTAACAAAACATGTTTCGTCCCCAACTCCAATTTTTCTGGCAAATTAGCAATGGACCATGAAGTGGAGAACCCTTTCTCCGTGGGCCAGGGCTGCCAGGAGTTCTAAGTTGGGATCCAAGGCTTTTGATAAGCCCCAGGTAATTCTGATAGAGCTTACCTGAGATACTGACATAACCATTGGCCTTTGCTTAACAAAAGAGATCCAAATCACAGTCCTGACTTGTGTAACCAGTAACTCAGGAGGTTTATGACCTTCCCACAATAACCACAGAAGAGCCAGGTCTATGGCTCAGGTTTTTAGGAATGCTAATTTGAAGAGTGATTAAACAGTAAGCAATTTGTTTTTATTTGGGCTGAGGGTTGTTCTTGAGATAGGGTCTCCTAGTTGACTGGCCTTGAATTCACTGGACAGCCAAGGCTTCCTTGGAGCTCCTATGGCCCCTGCTTCCACCTCCCAAATGCAGGGATTGTACACAGGCACCACTAAGCCTAGCTTAAACCCTTTGTTTGTTTTGTTTCAACAAGTTGCCTCACCGTATTGCCCAGGCTGGTCTCAAATTAAATCTTAGCCTCCGAAGTAGCTGGCACCACAGGCCTGTGCCACTCCTTTGGCCAAGTTTTCCCGACACTAACTGTATTGTACCTGCATACTAGGAGCCGGTCTCTGGAGGCTGCTTACTTTAGTCTACCATATTTTATGCAGCAGGAAGATACTGTTAAGTAATGGCAGCCAAGGTGGAAATGGTGGTGGCTTGGTGCTCTGACCTGGTTCTTAGATGTCCTTGAAGACACCTGGAGGGAGAGGCAGCCTATAGTAGCAACCTGTATAGGCAGTTCCTGGCTTTTTCCTCACAAGTGCCATTAATTTGTTGAGGTATCACTCCTTGGCAGCCCATCAGACATTGTGCCTGAAAATGTGTAAATGTAACGTAACAGTTCTGTCCATTCTCGACTTCTGTCCTCTGATGCTGGTAGTATCGGCCAGTATAGTACATTTCACAAGAAGCCTGAGTCAGAAGGGATCTGTAGTCTTTTCTGATGTACTTTGAAGTAAGTCTGTATATGGAGTACCTCAGGCTCAGGAAACACAGGCTCTAGGCTGTGAATGGCCAGCCCTTTGATGACATTCCTGCCTTAGTACATCTGGGTCTCAGTTTTCCATCTTACAGTGCTGGGAAGGAACCAGTAGCCTGTTTTGTATTCTGGTCAAGCATCCTGATTTTAGGAAGAAGGCTGTCTTTCTTCTAGCCAGTGCTGTAGCCATGCTTTGATGGGCTTCTGCCATTTTGATGTCCTTACAGGCGAGAAGGCTAGCTAGTTGCTAAGTTCTTGATAGCTTCACCAGACCAGAATCACACCCACCCCCACATCCACCCCAGGGCTGAGGACCAAACCCAGGGCCTTGCGCTTGCTAGGAAAGCGCTCTACCACTGAGCTAAATCCCCAAACCCCAGACTAGAATCTTTAAACAAACAAACAAACAAACAAACAAACAAACAAACAAACAAACAAAAACACTTTTCTTTTACCAGTGTGTCCTGGGAGTCTTCGGGTGTAGGATATTCACAGGTGACTAGTGGCTTCCTCCCAGAGGTAGCAAAGGACTTAGGAGTCAGTGGTGGGGCTACACAGGGGTAGGTTTTTTGTTTGTTTTGTTTTTAATGCTGTCTTTGCTCCCAGCCATCTAGAGGTGGTGCTGAGTTATGTATTCAGTGACTCAGCGACTGTCCTGACCTCACCGTTAGCTCTTACGTTCTTTGATAGAATTACTCTTCTTCGCTTTCTGCTGAGCCTCAGGAGTATTTGTCCTGCTCTAACTGAAGGTAGCGAGCAGTAAGAAAGCTCCCTGAGCTCCACTTGAGGTACCTCAGTGTTGAGTGGCCTTGACACCAGACTCCAGTTTCCCTCAGCCCAGGCACCTCCCTCTTCATCCATCCTGCTTCCCTGGCAGGTAACTTTGGGAAAAGTGGCCTTGACACCAGACTCCAGTTTCCCTCAGCGCAGGCACCTCCCTCTTCATCCATCCTGCTTCCCTGGCAGGTAACTTTGGGAAAAGTCTCAGTGTTCCTAGAGTCCTTTCAAAGTCTTTGTTAAAAGATCAAAAGGTAGCCAGGGGTGGTGGTGCACACCTTTAATCCCAGCACTCAAGAGGCAGGTGTACATGGATCTCCGTGAGTTCGAGGCCAGCCTGGTCTACAGAGTTCCAGGACAGCCAGGGCTACACAGAGAAGCCCTGTTTTGTTTTTGTTTTTGTTTTTGTTTTTTTTTTTTTGGGGGGGGATAAAAAATTATCAGTAAAAAATGGTGAAGATGGTTCCTCCATTGGTTGCTATAGAAAATTGTTGTTCAAGCTTCCTATGTGGATGTATGGTCTTCAGAAGATAGTTGTGAGACCTGGGACAGGGGACATGTGCCCATGATCCTGGCATTTGGGAGGGAGAAGCAGGAGGATCAGGAGTTCAAGGTCATCCTCAGAGGACTCAGCCACAGGTGTGTAGCTCCACGGCCCTTGCTCTACCATACAGATGACAAGTGACAGTGGCCAGCCTGCCCCTCAAGATGTCAGCAGCCACTAACTCATGCCTGTGTCTTGCAGAACTGCTGGAACTGTGGCCGAAAAGCCAGTGAGACCTGCAGTGGCTGCAATATTGCGCGCTACTGTGGGTCCTTCTGCCAGCACAAGGACTGGGAGCGTCACCACCGCCTCTGTGGCCAGAGTCTGCACGGCCACAGTCCCCACAGCCAGAGCCGGCCACTGCTCCCCGGAGGGCGGGGCTCAGCCAGGTCTGCTGACTGCAGTGTGCCCAGCCCAGCCCTGGACAAGACCTCAGCCACCACCTCACGGTCCTCAACACCTGCCTCTGTGACAGCCATCGATGCCAATGGACTCTGAGCCACGGGCTCCGCCCGCCCTGATGACCACTCCACATGGCAGAATGCTCGCACCGGGGAGCTGGCAATTAGAACAAGTAGCCATTGAGTCATCAGCAAGAAACGGATTGGCAGGAAGCATCCAGGAGGCACTCCACAGCTTCTGTAGGATTGGCCACGTGCCCTGGGAGAACTAGTGTGTCAGTCTCTGCACATAGGAAGTAGCTCGAGCTGCCTCCTCCATGGCTTTCCTGACGTTTCTCTTCCAGCTAAAACTGGCATAGCCGGCCCTTCCTAGTGTAGACCACCAGCTTCCTCTGACTCCTTGCATCAGCAGATTGTCTCTAGTGTCCCACCAGGCACCTGTGCCCCATACCATCCATAGTAGAGGCCTGAAGGCCGGCAGCAGGCTAAGGGAGGAGACCTTGCCTCCCCCTGCCTCCAGTTTCTTGAGCCTCATCTCCACCCTCAAAAGACACTGATTGGTCTAACAGACTCGAGTAGCCAAAAAGCAGTACTCAGGACTCCTTCCTGAGCCACTCAGACCTGCTAAATGCTCAGACATGCCACAAAGAAGCCACTACTTCAGTAAAGTCTCTAGCAATGGTAATAAATTAAAGCAGTCTTCCCCAAGCATCATAGATAATTCTGGACAAGATATTCCAACCTGGCCAGCTCCATTAGTTTGGAACCCATCCTCCAACTCCTGTCTTTCACTTGATTTTGCTTGTGCAGAAAATAATCTCCATCGCATGGATTGGTCTGAAAGAGGATGAAACCATTGTGTTAGTCGTTTCTCTGAGCATGTTGGCCAAACTAAACTATTGAGTGCACCACCTCTCGGAAATGCAAAACTCTCTGCTGCTGCTTGACTGTTCGAACAGTCGTCTTGTTCTGTGTGTCCTTTGCTCTCTCAGACTGTGCATGTCTGGATCACTGCGGGTATCTCTTGCCCATGGGTTCTGTTTGGCACCTGTCAGGCTACAGTTTGAGCAGTGCTCCTGACCCTGGTGGGATTATCACACCTGGTTTTGTGGCATTACACCCCTTCATGGGTTCATTATCAGGTGAACATTCTCAGCCTCCTTTTTCTGTGTTATGTGTTTGATAGCATCCCTCACAGCTCAGAAAGAGTTTGTGAAGTGTGGGAACCATTTTGAAAAGCCTGACTGGTTTTTCTTCCCATCTTCAGGGATTTTTTCCAAAAACCTGATTCTCCAAATAGAACATCATCTGTACCCTATTTATCAGGCTAAGTACTGCCATTTGAGTTTTGTTAGGTGCCCGAGGACCTTGCCCCTACCACTCATTGTCTTCCAGCATCCTCTTGCCCTGTACAGTCAATTTTGGGATGAGTCATTGACTTGATCCTGTTGGCTTTTGGAAGCTGTGGTCACCTTCTGTACAATGACCAAGCCTGAATACTAGCCCTTGCCCCATAAAGGCATGGATAGCATTGTCCTTACATACAGTTACAACTGATTTTAAGATTTTTGAGTCCCTTCAGGGCGGTGGTGACACACACCTTCAATCCCAGCACTTGGGAGGCAGAGGCAGGTGGATCTCTGAGTTTGAGGCCAGCCTGGTCTACAGAGCTAGTTCCAGGACAGTTAGGGCTACACAGAGAAACCTCGTCTCAAAAAAAAAAAAAAGGAAGAAAAGAAAAAGAAAAAGAATTAAGATTTTTGAGTCCCTACCTTATTTGAACAAGGATTTTCAGTCTTAGAAAGACTTAGACCTTTAAAATCATGTTTCAGCATAGAATACCCAAGACCCACTGCTTGTCAGACAGCCTAGTACAGCCTGACCTCCCTGGCCACATCCCCATCAGCCTGCTGTTATAGTATCCTAGCTACTGGGGACAACTTTGATTTTCTAGGTGGAGTCAGGGCTGTGTCATGAGAGGATCCCAGGCTTCTGGGAGTCTGAGAATGTCTACTGGTGTGCTCTGGGTCCATTATTCATTAGTAAATTGGATGAACACCCAAGTTAAAATCTTGCGGCCACAGGACTATTCCAGATAGTTAGAATAAAGAGCTGGACCCAGCATACTACTCCTTATCAGGTTGGAGATCAGTTTCTACAGCAAAGGTTTGGGGTGAGAGCCTGGCATACTTTCGCAGGCTACATGGTTGTCCTGACAGATTCTCAGTTTCTATGGTCCTGTTTGGGAACTACGTGGCTTCTGTGCCCTGCCTAGGTTTGTCTGTTGACCTAGACAATACTTGACCCTATATAGTTCACAGTTCTCAGACCTGTCACTGTCTCGACTCTGGTCAGCCTCACTCTTAAGTGGCATCTGCTTAGGACTTGCTTTTCAGAGTCAAGGAGTTCCTTTCTGCAGTTCTCCAATTCCTTCCTAGTCAGGAGGAGCAGCATCATCTGGGGTAGGAGCTGGAGTTACATGAGTGAGTCCTGGCTCCCCACTTCATTTCTAGTCAGCTAATATGACCCGTTGCTAGGCTGCAAAGTGAACATAAAGCTTCCATTCATCCCACTAAGACAGAAAAGAGGAAACAGCTGAGTCAGTCTACTCAGAGGTCTGGCTTCTGCAGTAACTATTTGGGAACAAAAAAGATCAGGACTTTATCATCCTTTACCAAGTGAGATAAAATTGCAGGAACCAGACAACACCAAAAGGTAGCCAGACTGGAGTTACACAGTCATTTCTCACTCCAGCCAATGGTGAAGACTTGGTGGGTAGGACACCGTGGAAGCTAGGTTGAGATGTGGCATATTTGGTAATGTGGCTAGCATGCAGAAGTCCTGGATCTGATTCCCAGTATGACATAAGCCAGCCATGGTGGTGCATATCTGTAATCTCAGCATTTGGGAGGTGGAAGCAGGAGGACCAGAAGTTTAAGGTCATCCTTAGCTACATAGCAATTCCAAGGCCAGCCTGAGTTACCTAAGACCTATCTCAACAAGAAGACACATTGACGAAGGGTCCCTGCAGGAGCTCCATCAGATTGGCTCATGCCGACAGGTGGTGGTAAGGGCACAGGCTGAGTGGTTTTTCCCTGAGGCACTAAGTCACATGCTGCCATCTATCTGTGCAGAAACAACATTGCCCCCCCCCCCCAGGTCTGCTCAGGGCATTGGCTCTTCTGCAGTGTAGACTCTTACCCATTTGATCCCCCGGAAGTGATTCACATCTTGATGTCCACTCTAGCTAGCATCTTTAGCTTCCAGAGGGGATATCTACATTTTAGTTTGTCCTAAAAGATGAAGTGACCCATACCTGCTTATAGAATGTGAGGACATTTTTCTGAGTGATTCTGGAACCTATCTCAGCAAGTATGTGAGGACTCACAGGACTGCAAGTGTATGGTAGTGGGTTCTTCCCGGAGCATAAGGAATGAGCAGATGGCCATCGTCCTGGAAACTGCAGACGGGATTGTGGGTTGAATAAACCATTACAAATAGGACACATCTTGAGGCTTTCTTCAGAACTGGACTAGAACCAAGGTTTCCAGGCTCCTGGCACAGGAGACTAAGCCAGTGTGCTTTGATTAATGCTAGCTGTTTGCAAAGAACTGGGTGGTGGCATGTTTGAACCAAATGTGAGAAAAACCAGAAGGAACTGAGCTGGCCATTGTGGGCCAGGTGGCCAGCTGTGGAAGATCCTTGACCCGGCAGCTGCTGAGCAGAGCCTGCCCACTCAAGTATATTCCTTGTAAAGCCAAAATGCTGAACTACCTGCTTCTGTCTTATGTGTTGACACCCATTTCCAAAGATGATGGAGTAAGTGTGAACCAGGAGGAGGTTGAGGTGGTAGGTGGTGATTCGCCCCTCCCAACTCTCCTTCCACAGCCCAGGAGGTGATGTTTCCCACTCAGACCACATCTTATCCGGCCTCCAGATGCCCAGTGTAAACTGTCAGTGCTTATACCAAATAGGGCATGTGCAGCTGGTGTCTGTCAGGGACAGCCCAGTCCCTGCCTTGTAGTTGCCAGGGAGAAGCTGCAACAGTTGTTCGGAGAATGGCTGAAAGGGCTGTTTGATACAAGGCCTTCGTTCCATTCCTGTGGCTTTCCAAGTTCCTGATGAGGCTACAACGGCTCCATCCCTACAGAAAACCAATAATGTAAATAGAAAGCCAAGCCTTCAAGCATGGTTTGCAGAGGTGGGTGATGAATGTGAAGCCACCTGCAGGACACATTTGAGTCTGGTTTTTCTGTGCTTTGTCATTTGACTCAATAGGAACTTTTGTTACTTAACTCTGTGCATAACTTATTTAATGTACTGTATAAATGAACCAAAACTGTTAAATACGTATTTAGTTTGTTCTACTTAAAGTAGTGAATAAAAATGCTATATTCCTTTTCTGACTCAAGCTGGACTGGGCCTGGGCAAGATAGTATAGTGGTGACTGTGTGTGCCAAGCAGCCTGCTGCAGGCCTTGGTGTCGTCAAACACACAACATTCTCTCTTCCCTCTCCCACCCCCAGGTCTTTGGTGAAGGGGCAGTTGGGCTATGGCCAAAAGAGCATGAGATTGGGCAGATCAGGAAGGTGGTGGCCTTCTAAGGAGTGGGGGCTTGCAGTTAGCCCCTCCCATGAAGCCTCTTGCAGCCGTCTTCTCTCCCAGGGAGGCCCTAAGCGACCATACTGGTCACAGTTGAGTCCAGCAGTAGTGTACAGGTATCTGGTTCTTAATGCTCTCCTCCACCGAGTGATTTTAGTAAGAACATTCAGCCACAGAATGGGCTTAGGGTGCATTTTTTCCTGGTAACTTTTGTTACTTCCTTACAAAGTTTCAGCATTAATATATGTCCTTTCTGTGCTAGCATTAATTCTTAATTTCACTGATGCTGTAATTTGAGGCAATACTTTACCTCCAAGTCTCATTCAGCTTCATTGTTTGGTATCAGGTGCCCTCTGGAGGACAAAATGGTGCCTGCTGCTTCTGCTGCCATCAGAACTGATTCCTATCCAGGGTGATTCTCTGCTTTTGTCTTTTTCTGGGCTTCAGCCTTTTCTGAGTCTGTCTCTGTCCATCTGTTCCCCCACACACACACACTTTTTTCCAAGACAGGGTTTCTCTGTGCAGTTCCGGCTCCCCTGGAACTCACTTTGTAGACCAGGCTGGCCTTGAACTCATGGAGATCGACCTGCTCCCTCTGCCTCCTAAGTGCTGAGATTAAAGGCATGCACCACCACCACCACCACCACCTGGTATTTCTGAGGCTGTCTCTATCCTATGAGTTCAGATGATGTTTTCTGGGTACATTAGGAAGTTCCAGAACAACTCAGGGTTCAGCTTTTTTCTTGTGCTGGACTCTACCTTGCTTGACATCCCCTAGACCTCAAGGCTTGGTTGGCCTTGGCATATTTTAGGACTGAGTAGAGCCTTTCATCACTGTCCCTGCTTCTTTAGCTAGGATACTGCCACCCAGGGATGCCCATTTTCAATTCCTTCCACACTTGACAGCAAGTAGCAATTGGTAACAGAGATACCAGAGCAAAGCATGTATCTGTCTATCCTGTAAGTTGGGATAATAGCAGTGTTTACCCCCTCCCTGGGTTGTGAGGGTGAAATGTGATCATAAGAGAGCCAAGCGGTGTATGTGGATATTAGCTGTTGAGTCAAAGATAACCAAGCTACAATTCATAGACCCCCGGCAGTTAGGTATACAGCAAGTGGTGGGGTGGGAGAGCAGATGGATCTCTTAGATTAGTTATAGATGGATGGGGGTGGGGCTGGAACAGAAGGATCAAGGGGAGAGGGATGAGGGAGGGAATACAGGAAGAGGCAGGTAAAATTAAGAGCCATTTGAGGGGTAGTATGGACCTAGTACATACAGTAGGAGCTTCCTAAGATATATATATACACACACACACACACATATACATATGCACAAAAGTGATGAAAATGAAATCACCAAATAATGGAGACAGAGCTCCAACTACCTATCTCATCACCAAATGAAACCTACAGTACTGGATCATGTTGCATCTAATTGAACTGTTAGCCAAAGAAGTCCCGTGGGAATCCCCAAAAAACCCAGGCTGTTGCCAAGACTACAGGTTGCTCTCCATACACTGATGGCAAGGCCGGACTGCTGAAGACGCCACCTACACAACTCATTGATCAGGGAGGACGGGAGCTGATGGCTGCACAGAGCCTCCACCCCTCGGGGCAGCGCTAGCATCTTCGGTACAGTAAGGTACCCTGCATGCTAACAAACAGCAACTCCAACAACAGCCCTTTGATCTACATTGGTGTCTTACCTTAGATAGGCTAGGGCAACGGTGGACAGAACTTGTGGCAGGAACCAACCAATATCTGACTTGACTTAAGGCCCATCCACAAGATGGAACTCGTACCCAGCACTGCTTGGGTGACCAAGAATGTGAGACTAGATAACCCAGGGACCTAGGGGAAAATCAAATATAACTTTCCCAAAAAAAAAAAAAAATAGCAACAAAATGATTCCTAATGACCTTCTGCTATACTCATAGATCAGTGCCTTGCTCAGCCATCATCAGAGAAGTTGCTTCTTACAGCAGAGGGGAACAAATAGAGACGCACAGGCAGACATGCAGAAAGCGAGACACCTTAGAATACTTGGCCCTAAAAGATGTCTTCCCTCAAGACTCAGGGAATTCCTTGAAGAGGCGGGAAGAGCGCAGAGGCCAGAGGGGATGGAGGACACCAAGAAATCAAGGCCTTCTGAGTCAGTATGATCAGAAGCTCATATGGACTCACAGAGACGGAGGCCGCCATATACACAGCCTGCAGGGGTCCGCGCCAGGTCCTCTGTAGATCCATCACAGCTTCCAGTTTAGAGATTTTATGGGATTCCTGAGTGTGCGAATGAGTAGGTCTCTGATTCTTTTGCCTTCTCTTGGGCTCTTTTCCTTATGTTTGTTCTGTCCAACTCTGATGTATTAGTTTTGTTTTTATCTTATTATCCCTTAGAAGCTTTTGTTTTGTTTTGTTTTTTGAGACAGGGTTGCTCTGTGTAGCTTTGGAGCCTTTCCTGGAACTCATTCTGTAGACCAGACTGGCCTCAAACTCAGAGATCCACCTGCCTCTGTCTCCCAAGTGATCACCACCCTGCTGCCTTTTTTTGGTTTTGGTTTTTTGTTTGTTTTGTTTTGCTTTGCTTTGTTTTTCAAGACAGGGTTTCTCTGTGTGGTTTTTGGTGGCTGTTCTAGATCTCGCTATGGCCTCGAACTCACAGAGATCTGCCTACCTCTTCCTCCCGAGTGATGGGATTCAAGTCATGCACCACCACCACCACCCAGCTAAATGTTCATTTTTAAAGAAGTAAATAAAATCTTTGGGGCTTGAGAGCTGGTTAGGAGCACTTGCTGTCCCAGAGGACCTGAGCTGAGTTCCCTGCACCCAGGTCAGGTGGCTCACAGTCCCCTCTAACTCCAGCTCCAGGGGTCTAACGACCTCCTCCAACACCTGACACACATGACACACACACATGAATAAACAAAATCTTACATAGTTTTAAGCCAGCCGTGGTGGTTATGCGGCAGAGGCAGGGTTGCCCCAAGTTTGGAGTCAGTGTGTTTTACATAGCAAGTTCCAGGTCAGTCGGGCCTCCGCAGTAAGAGTCTGTCTCAGCCCCCTCACTACCAAGAGAAGTGCGGTGGTGAGTGTCCACTCTAGCTCTGCCCAGGGAGCTGCTGTTAGCACAGCTGTTCTCACTTTCTCCCAGCCAGTGGATTCCTCGAAGATCCACCCAGCCTTAGTCCTCTGCATGGAACTGCAGGGTTTGCTCAAGTAACATCTCCTTCAAGAATGACTTGCCCAGCACTTGGGAGGCAAAGGCAGGTGGATTCTGTGAATTTCTGGCCAGCCAGGGCGACACAGTGAGACCCTGTTAAGAATGCCTTCTTGGCCACCCTGCTTTAGAGTCCCCTCATTTTGTCTTTCAAAGGCTGTATCAACAGGAGCTGGCGTACAAGGAGCTAAGGTGGTCGAAGCAATGGGCGCTGGGTCGGTTACTGCACCTGGCCTGGCCCTCAGCCAAGCCCGTCACGGGTGTAGGCAGTTCAGGAAGGTGGAGTGGCAGCCAGGTACGGAGCCAGAAAGCTGGCTTCAGGACTCACTCAGCCTGCCATGGCCTGGTGGCTAACATTTCATTATCCCTCGTGCCCATCACGAGCGTGGCTCCAGTAACTGTTGGCAGGACTGCAGATCCAGTCTCAGCAGGCTCTGAGGGCAAGGGTGAGTGGAGGTGATGGCTCTGGCCTGCTGCGGAAAGGCTGAGGCGGTGTTTCTCTAGAGTGGACATCAGTGTGAGGTCAAGGAGGGGTGACTGAGGCTGGGATGGCCCAGCAGCCTGCATGTGACTTAGGGGAAGGGACTGCATGCATTGGGAATGGGAAAGGCCTCAGCTGTCAGACAAGAAATGGTATCAATAGAGAAGAAATCAATAGGAGCCATTGAAGGGTCTTGAGCAAAGGGATGTGGTGACCACAGGAACGAACATGGTGAGGCCCCCTTCTGGTACATAGTGCAGCCTGATGAAGCTTTGTGTCACTGTCCTGAGCTGTGTGTTATGGTGAAGAAGCAAGACAGAGATGAGGTGGGCTGTGGGAGTGCACACCATCAGAGACACAGTGTGCCCCTACCCCAGCCTCGGCCTCCTGTGGGAGTGCACACCATCAGAGACACAGTGTGCCCCCTACCCCAGCCTCGGCCTCCTGTGGGAGTGCACACCATCAGAGACACAGTGTGCCCCCTACCCTAGCCCCGGCCTCCTATTGCTGAGACTCCAGACTCACAGCTGCACCTTTTGCACCTTGTCCCTCCAAGACAGCATTGCAGCTGCCTGGGGCCTGGCCTTCTCTGATGCTCCGTCTTCACTCTGTCCCTTTTGCCCCTTTCTGTGGCTCTTCTGTTCCCCCCCACCACCTCTCCATCCACTAAGATCCCCTGCTTGGCAAACTCAAGCCAAGTTCCTCTCTCCTAGAGGCCTCCGAAGCAGGATTGATTCCCTCCACCTGCAGTGCCCCCAACAGCTCTGACCCTCAGCAAGGGAGCAAGGATATAGGTGGGTTATGAAATAAGAGTTAGTTGGGCCGGGCGGTGGTGGCGCACGCCTTTAATCCCAGCACTCGGGAGGCAGAGGCAGGCGGATCTCTGTGAGTTCGAGGCCAGCCTGGGCTACCA